CCGCGAGAATATGTATATTCAGGGCTTGTTCGTGTAAACATCTATTTGTATACATAGGTATATGAGCACTAAAATATGTACCCCTACACGTATACCTACATATGCATAGCTATCTCCATAGTATATTTTCCTTGGTAATTTATGGAGAACAACTGCTTTCAAAAAGCTCGAGCATATCGAGACGTGATTTAGAACGAACGTTCGCACATTTACTGCGTCTAAAAATGAGACTTGACAGTGATAAGGAACGCGTGTCTCGTCTTTCGTACTATTTGAAAGCAGGTTACTGATATGAACGATAAATAGATATATTTTTCTTGTCAAACTAATATATCATTATATGGACCTAAGGTGGACACTGTGACTGGAGTCTGGACTACGAAAGCGGAAAGAATAAAGATGGAGGAGTTCAAGCGTGGATTGGAGGAATCTTTATTATAATTTACTCAGCCTCCTAAAATATTATAATCAATAAATCATACATGTATGCTTGACTAGGGTGCAATATTTGGGTTCTTAGGTTCAATATTTGACAACTATTTCGTTTTTTAAAAAGAGTCGTATAATTTTTTTTAATGTACGTTGTATCCTTTTTTAGACATTTACGTTTAGCGTATACAGCGCTGATGTTCGTATTTTCCCCGTGCCCGCCAAGCATCTTGTGTTGATGACACTGAACTATCAAAGCGTTATTTATGTATTTACTTTGCCGGGCTGCCGGCTGTTTGGCGTTGGCATGTTGATCTAAAATGTACTTTTTTTTAGTAAAAATATTTTTAACGTTTACCGTGTAGTACCTCTTGTAATAATTATATTACAAGAAGAGACCTGAAAAGTGAAAACACCGTGTAATATCAATATTTATATTCCAAAAAAAGTATAAAAGTTTTAAAAAAACCAATATTTAAAAAAATATATAAAATATGGCAACTTTTTTATAAGTCAATGTAAGGCAACAGTAAAGCACTATCGCTGTTTGATTGGACAAATCAAAATATTCCAGGCCACTAATCCAGCGAGAAAGCACAGCTGGATCCATATATGGAGTATGTGAATTGCTTTTCCATTTTACCAATCAGCCAGGTTGCCAGTAACCGTTATTGTGTGCACAACCAACGACGGGTCGACACTCGACAGCCAACGACGATTGATTTCAATATTTAATTTTTGTAAAAGTACAGTCTTCGACGAGCACTGATACTCTGTGATACAAGCGTGCGCTGTTTATATAAAGGAATTAAACATCGCGGGCGTAGTTACGATTGGTTGGAAATTTAACTCGGCTTTTGATTTCTGAGTGTTTTATTTCTTTATTTCTTTATGAATTGATATTGATTCGAGTAGAATTGATGGAGAGCACGACAACCTCAAGCGTGAGTCGGTGTGACAATCTATTTGAGTGTTTGTACACGTATTGAAGCATGTGTATAAAAGCAAAAACTGCTATCAGATACACCTCATTATCCACGCAGGCAGTTCATTATACACCAGCGAGTTTAATTATACAGTCTTATAGAGACAGCATACATATATTCAAAATAAATTCACAGGTTATGCTTAGAATCATAAAAAGTAAAGTTTTCGGTGGCAGCAATGTCAAGACTAATAGCCAGCCGACGTTCTTACAGAACGAGGACGATGCTGCAATCATGAACATGGCAACAAGCCCTCGAGGTGTCAGTAAGCACTCACAATTCGACTTGCACGGAAAGGGTGTTGAGCTTACTTTCCCACACCACCAGGTGTTGAACATAGATGACGTTTCGAGTAATTCTAGCGGCAGCAATTCGCTTTCATCTTCGCCATCTTTACCGCTCTCCTCACAAAATAGTGACATTAATAACCTCTCAGTGCCACTTGTGGTCTCAAATACTACGGTGAACGTATCGAAATTGTTTACAAATGAGTACCGCAGCTCCGCCGCTGCTACCGAGTACACAATCATCCGTACCATAAATAGCGGATCTACAGCAAAGGTGCAATTGGCGTACCACCAGAAAACAGACAAGCACGTAGCGTTAAAGATTATGGCTAAAAGCAAGCACGACTTGAAGTACATGAATCGGGAAGTCTCGATTCACAAGCAACTCAACGAGCTTTGCCGGGTACAAAATTTGTCGCATCAACACGTCGCAGAGATTTACGAGGTCATCGAAACCCCGCATCACTTTGTGGTAGTCATGGAATACCTGGCTGGTGGTGACCTATTTGATCTTGTGCCACCAAATGTTGGTTGTTCCGAATTACAAGCCCTTACATATCTCAGCCAAATAAGCACTGCCGTTGCCCATATGCACCGTTCAGGGGTTGTACACAGAGATCTCAAACCAGAGAACTGTGTTTCGGATGGCAAGGGAGTGATTAAGCTGGTTGACTACGGGGCTGCAAGCGAAACCACCGGTGCGATGACCTCCGCAGGTACCATTCCGTATATGGCGCCTGAGGTGTTCGACAAGTCTAACGCTCCCAACTGGAACTTGAAGGCTATTGATGTGTGGGCCATTGGAGTATTGTATTTTACCCTGTTGACCGGAAGATTTCCATGGGCCATGGCTGCGGAGGATAGAAGCCCAGAGTATCGGATGTATCTAGATGGCGACCTTTGCAATAAGTATCCCTGGAACAACTTTTCTGAGGAGTCAAAGCAAATCATCACCAGCGCACTACACACAGACCCGGCCAAAAGGGTGACTATCGAAGAATTCAAAGCAAGTATTGATAAGCAACTATACAGGATGCAATACCAAACGCCTATGGCCGCTCCAATGGCGTAGAGGGAACAAAAATAGATAACAAAGGAAGAAAAAGAAAAATCTAGAACGACGACGGGAGAGAAGTTCACTCGGCATGTTTTGTCAATACGCCGAATGTAGTTGCTACAAAAATAAAAGCACATCTGAAATTCCAATTCACTATATTGATTTTGCTATATCTTTATTTTATTCTTTGCGGCCTAGACATAGTCAAAACTGCTCAAAGGTCAGCTTGAAGCCTGCGCACTATCTGTGTCTGTAGATAACAAGTAGGCAACATATGGCGGGCATCTCCCATCACGGCTTCGTCCATCACCGCTTAACGTCTCACCGATTCACACCTGTGGTGGATGACACAGTAATCATTCATCAAGCTAACCATTTCACACTATGTAATTTGAATGTAGATATTGATTGGCGAGTCTTAGTTTGAATATAATAAACTGTATAGGTGCAATGTTACAAGCCGACATCCGACATCCGATTGCATGCCAGCGATACGGGATAACCACAAACACTCGCGTACACGTATTCACAAATTTATTGGCCATTGCTATGTACAATACATTCTGGGAATTTACATAGATCATCAGTAAAAATAGACTATGTACCTCGCACTAGCTTGACCGTAAATGCTTACAAATTTACCGTTTTTATCATCAAGCCCACCGGAGTTTCTTTGGCGAGCGTGCGCGGTGTTCATATACATAGCAGCCTGGTAATAAAAAGTCGAAGAAATGCCAAAGCTTTTAGCTCGTCCAATCAAAGTGTTTTATAAAGCAAATACAAAACTAAAAAAATAAAATAGAATATTGCCTTCTAAATTATGTACACTAGAAGGCTTATGATGATCGCAAAAATTATGTACTACATGTACTTACAATTATACCTGGCCTTCAATTGAAACAATAGAAGGCTTATTATCTGACTATCTATGTTTTAGGGTTTTAGAGATGCTGCCGACATTTGAGGTAGGACTGGATGGCAAAGGCAATCCTAACGCTAAGGTACTACAAGCAATTAAAAATATCTAGGAGCTATGTGAAAATGAATTATACTTGCATCAATGAAGACTTTTAACAGCGCAAAAACACTTGATTGCCGAACACTCAAAACAAGCATATAAGCACCAGTAACTTTGTTGTCTGAATCATAGACTCCGGTATGTGTATGTGTGTATGTATGTGTGTGTGTGTATATATATGTATGTGTATGAGACAATGGTATGTGTGTGTGTGTGTATATGTATGTGTATGAGACAATGGTATGTGAATGTGTGTATGTATGTGTGTGTGTGTGTATGTTTATGCGTATGTGTATGCGTGTGTGTATATATGTGTGTTTTGTATCTGTGTCTGTGTCTGTGTCTGTGTACTTGTCTGTGTCTGTATATGTGTCTGTGTCTGTATTTGTGTTTTGCCTATGTCTGTATCCGTGTCTGTGTCTGTGTCTGTTTTTGTGTCTGTGTCTGTGTCTGTGTCTGTGTCTGTTTCTGTTTCTGTATGTCTGCGTATACATATAAA